TTCCATGGCCCACTTGAGCAATTTACCCGATGCCTCTATTTTTTGGAGGACTTGCTTGAGCGGGTAACTGGTCATTACAGGGATTGTGTGGGCGTGGAAGTAAGGTCGCAACTTTCTGGAAGCGATCAGTAGGGCATAAGCTGAATCGCTCCATTTCTGGATACCGCATCTCGGCATCCAACAGACACTTGCTTGCGTAATAAATCGGCCATTGAATCCGACTCTCTTCCCGAACTAAAGTTGCACTGACTGCGTACTGCGAGACGGACAAATATAGGAGCAGAATTTCCTATGAAAGAGGCTTGGACAGAAGAGGTGGTTTTCCAAGGTGCTTTTTAATGCTTTGGAATGCTTGTTCGCACTCGGAGTCCACTAAAACTTCTTATTGGCCCTAAGGATATTGAAGAATGGAAAGCAGCGATATGTTGCTCTCGATATAAAGCGACTGAGTGCCGCTATTCGCCCGTTGAGACTCTAAACCTGTTTTCGGTTGGTCGGGTTTTTCATGTTGAGGAGAGCTTGGATTTTCTCTGGGTTGATCTCTATTCCCCTTTAATTAACCATGTACCCCAGAAATTTTCCTGAGGATACTCCGGATGAGCATTTGAAGGGATTGAGCTTCATTCTGTATTTCTGAAGGATGTCGAACATCTCAGCGAGATGTGCTGTGTGATCTGAAGCAACATGCGACTTAACTAACATGGCATCAACATAGACTTCCATCGACTTCCCGATCTGCTCGGAAAACATTCGGTTAACCAGTCATTGGTAAGTTGCTCCAACGTTCTTCAGGCCGAAAGGCATAACCCTATAACAATACAACCCCCATTCTGTAACAAAGGAGGTATGTTCTTCGTCCAGCTCATACATCAAAATTTGATTGTATCCCGAGCATGTGTCCATAAAACTGAGCAGCTCGTGCCCGGAGGTGGCATCAACGAGCTGGTCGATCTTGGGTAGGGGAAATCTATCTTTTGGGCAAGCTTTGTTGAGGTCGATGAAGTCAACACAAGTCCGTCACTTGTCATTGGGCTTCTTTACTAGAACCGGGTTGGCAACCCAGCTTGGGTAGAGAGCTTTTCGGATGGATCCATTCTGAAGGAGATTATCTACCTCGATTTTCAAGGCAGCATATCTCTTTGGATCCATCGCTCTTCTTTTCTGGCGGACCGGTCTGGCTTCACTATCGATGTTTAAGGCATGGCAAATGATGTCCAGGCTGACCATATCGGCATGCGTGCATGCGAACACATCAATATTTTCTCTAAGGAAGCTAGTCAGGTCATTAGCGAGCTAAGGGCTGAGATTGCTTCCAATCCTTAACACTCGGCTCAGCTCAGCTCAGCTCAGCTCATTCTGGTCGACTGACACTTCCGTTAGATCCTCAACTGGTCCACTGGAAGGGCATTCCTGGATACGAGGATCCATATTATCCTCGGCTAGGCCAGGCTGTGGTTCGATCCGATTGATCGTCATTGCCAGTTTGGGAATGCCATGGGGGATGCCTTTTCCTTTGCACGCCATTTGTACTGACCTTACATAGTAGTCGCGAGATGCGCGCTGAGATCCGCTTACTTCCCCTATCCCTGTCGGGGTGGGGAACTTCATCTTGAGATGGTAGATCGAAGTGACTGCCTTGAAGTTTCTTAGTAGAGGTCGCCCTAGGATGCCATTGAAAGCGGAGAGGCAATCCACTACCAAGAATTCAGTGACCCTGGTCACCTCGTCAAAGTCACCCAACGTGACTGGAAACGAGATCATTCCCTTAGGGATCAGGTGATCCCTTGTAAAACCATATAGGGGGATTAAGGCGGGCTTCAGGTCGGCCTCATCCAATTTCATTCTTTCAAAAGCTCATTGGAACAGGATGTTCACAGTGCTTCCGTTATCCACCAACATTATGTGGATGTCGCAGCGCCCTATTTGGGGCGTGATGATGAGAGCATCATCATGGGGATGATGCAATCGGACTGGATCTTTTTCGGATAAAGTGATTTCCTCTTCTCTGCGAACCTTTGACAGTCGTTGCGCCGTGTTCATTACACGGATAGGGTCGTGATGGGTTGCGCGAGCATATCTTTGTTGCGAACCTCACGAGTTTTCCCGAGGTGTGGTCCCCCAAAGATTATCCCCATGCTACAGATACCCTTGCAATCACGACGCTTCTTGCCTGGTTCCTCTCGATTTTTCTCCCTTACGGGAGCAGAGTCATCAACATACTCTTTGAAATGCCCCTACTTGATAAGATCTTCGATTGCCTACTTGAGAGCTCGGCACTCATCGGGATGCCTATTATCCCGATGATAACGACAGTACTTTTTACTGTTTCTAGCTGAAGGGGGATTTTTCATGGTCTCAGGTTCTCTGAGCAGGCCGGCCTCTTCTGATTTGTCAAGAATGGCCGATACAGATGCATTCAAACGAGTATTTTGATTCCTGTCATGATCGACGAGGAACCGGAGCATAAGACTTCTTAGGCTCAAACCGCTGTTTCTTTCATTTTCGCTGATCATCGTTAGCCCATCGACAATCAGCCTTCTTATTCCCCCCCCCCCCCCCGACCTGGTGTACTGCCCAAAGGACCAGGGTCGTGGCGGCTGAGCGCTACCACAGAGTTCTCAATACAGAGGTATTTCTCCATAAGGCTATAGAAGCAGGTGAGAAAAACATCGTCCTCTGATTGCAGCTCCTTCCACAGATCTGTCTGTGGACGAACTCCCACGATGACGAGAGTTCGAACGGACTCTTCGGGAGTGTGAGCTACTTTATGGAGCTCTATGTGGAATCTGTCGATGTAGGGTTGAAAGGATTCATCCCTCTCTTTCCTTATGTTGCTAAGGTAGCTCAAAGGCATTAAGAACTTCCTGTTCGCTTGGAAGTGTCTCAAGAATATCAAGTTCATCTGATTCCACGAGCTGATTGATCCCGCCGAGAGCGACCTGAACCATCGCTTGGCATGAGATGTAAGAGACGAAGAGTCACTGCCAAGCATCGACATTTTGCCGAGTTAGAAACTTCGTGAAGTTCCATCAGGTCGTTGAATCCGTACAAATGATCTTGCGGATCAGAATTCCCATCGAACGCCCGCATATCGGGCATTATGAATCTAAATAGGAGAGGGGCGGCTAACACAGTTGGAGAAAAGGAAGACGCCTCTACGACCTGCCTTTGCTCATTTTGCTAAGCCTTTAGTTGATCCAGGGCTCGTTGTAGCTCCTCAATCTGAGGCAACGGAGCCATCTGGGGATTGCTTTCCCCCATGCGAGTTTGACCCTCGCAATTGCGGTTGAGGAAAGTTTGAAGGTCGGATTTCACCTCGTCTCAGCCAATAGTTTCGGCCGCTCTTGACACATGTTGGCTAAAATCATGCGATGGCGATGAATGATCCGGGGAACCTTCCCGACCTCCGCGGTGGTGCGAACCGACCCACAGACAGTAGGAACTTCCCGCACGATGACGATCGGAGTCGTCATTTTGGCGATAGTGGGAATCTCCTCACCTTGCACTTTTGTAGGAGTGCTCGCACGACGTGGCAAGGGACAGCTCGGGCCGCGACATGTCACCAAGTCTTTGCGCCACGGGTTTTCTACTCAGGGTGCGGTCGGTGTTCGCTGGTCCCTCGGAGCCTCTAGGCCCATTGTTCGCCACCTGATTTTCCTTTCTTTGACGCATTGCAGTACGTTCGGCACAGGCTATCGCCCTTTTTCGCACTTTCATGCAACCTGCATACGTTTTTTGCGATGGCACCGCCTCATTTGATTTGGGTGGCGCGACCCGATCCAAACAGTCCAGCCTTTAATTGACTCTTTGGAGAGTATGTTGAACCTCTCCAGGTAGCTCATGACGACTGGATCAAGCCGTGAGCTCGAAAGGATATCCCCCACGAGATTTTACGGGACTAGGGGTACTTCAAAAGAAGTGTCCTCTTGCACCTAGGGGATCTCTTCCTCACCATGATTGGTTCGCTCAGGTTCGAATCGGCAAGCCATTTGCTTTTGTAGGACCGATTAGTCAGAGATTCTCCTGATGAAAGACAAATACTAAATCAGGCCCTCCTTCTAGCTCCAAACTGTTGATGCGTGATTTTGACACCAACTAAACGCAGGTGGGAAATGCTGAACCGACTCAGAGGACATACTTGTACGGGGGTATTGAGCTAAATAAAGAGTAAAGAACGGTGTTTAAAGTGGTTCGGATGCTTCAATAAGTGAATCCTACGTCCACTGGTATCGTATTAATATATGAGATCAGGTCGCGTTCAGCGAGCTGATTTACAGAAGATTACGAGAGAGAGAGAGAGAGAGAGAGAGAGAGAGAAAGAAAGAGAGAGAGAGAGAGAGAGAGAGAGAGAGAGAGTATATCTACTACTCTAGAGAGAAATTAGTTAATCCCACAAACGGGAGAAGAGTCCTCTATTTATAGTGGAATGAATTGAGGTAATGATTACTAAATTAGGGAGTTGGTCAAATTGCCGTGCAAATCCTTCCTTGCGTCCCGTTATTCACATGCTTGAGTGATTTACTCGATTCTTGCAGGGATTGGACACGTGGATAGCCTCCAGCCTTTCACCAGCTTGGCGCTCACCTACTGCACTGGCAAGAGCGTGCCGCTTTCGTTAATGTGCGACGTGGCTTCGTCTAAATGGCTGCTGGACTTACCTAATCCCTGACCACTTACGCTGACAGGGCTCTGCGTCAGCCCTACTTTTTCAAACATACATATATATTCTCCAAAACTTAGTTTTATGAAATTTCTGAAGAGCTCCTTGAGTTAATTTTTTGCAAATTATTCCAGGTCAATATAGATCTCTTCCAGGACAGTCGCACTCGCCTATATATTGTTTGGGGGGTAAGTGTTTCTTCTTTATCTTGGTCTCGGTCTTGTAATAATCAAAACTGCTCACACATTTTCTTCATCAAGCCGCCGGTGGAATTTCTCATGGTTGCTACAACACATATTGTTCAAGTTTCGTCCAAACTGATACCACAATAGCACTGGGGATGGTCCTTGAACCAGTTTCAGTTGTCGGTGGAACTCAATATTACATCTCACTGGAAATCAATCAGGTAAATCTCTGGTACAAACATTCCCATCTTTACTAAGTTCATCTCTGTCATCGAAAACTGCATTTTCTTGATTGGGTAATTTGATTATTACAGAATAAGGAAACAGGGAACTGGTGGCTCGTGTATGGCGAAAATGGGAAAACAATTGGGTACTGGCCAAACAGTTTGTTCACATATCTGAAGAATGGAGGTGAAGTTATTGGTTGGGGAGGAATCGTATACACCACAACACAAAATATGCCAGCTATGGGAAACGGAGACAATGGGGAGCTGTATAGTTGCCATTTTAGGCAAGTTGCAGTGAAATATGAAGCAGGGTCAGGTCTAAATGGGAGCATGGATGCGCCAATTAATGTTATAAAAAACAAATGCTACAAGGCTGGAGATAATTCCTACAAAGGACTTTACTGGGGTTACAGCTTTTATTTTGGTGGGAATGGTGGGGATGTGAACGAGTGTTCTCAGAAACTCTAGAAGCAGAGTACTATCAATAAATCCATATTAGTTTTAAATTAATTTATGGCAAGCAATTTGCATATATAAATAGACTTAAACTAATCTCATGGGGTGTAAAAGAGTAATAATTTCCAGAAAACAAGAGCTCCTGCAACTAGAATGAATGTATAAAAAGAGTTTTATACTCTGGATTTGTATTTCACAACAAAACACATTAAAGATTTTATTCATCTCAAAACTTCAGTGAAAAATTTGTTAACAAAACTTGAAATGCAAGAAGACCTGAACATTTTCCACATAATTAGCCAACGGTAATTCTCAGCTTTTTACCCTCAATACTTGCTTTGCGTATTTGCATCTTGTATATCACCGCATTGTTGTATTCGAAAGACAATCTGAAAAGAATCAGGAGGCATCTCTAATGGATTCCCAGTATATCGCAAAATAATTGAGGCTTCATCCGAGAGAAAATAATACTTGGCATTCCAATATCTGCATATAATCTGTGGTTCAAGTATTAATCTTTTTCCATCCAACAAAACCCCGACCGGCAATCAGGAACCTCTGGGAGTATAAAAAAAACTCTACTCAAACATTCATCAACTATGTACTTTATTGTATCTTGAAAAGGTTCTTCAGCTTCACAACCAACTTCCATTCGTCGATAGACAGTTCATCCTGAACATACAAGTTATGGTAAGCAACCAAAGATGACCTTAACAGTAAGGAAAAGAAACTAGAAGCACAAGCATGAACTTACCCGATAATTGGCTTTAAGTATATCAATTGACTTCCTTGAAATGTGGCTGACAAGCTCATCCTCGATTTCAAAATGCCTGCCATACATTTTTTGCTGCTCCTCAGAATTGGAACCAACTATCTGTAAAAACACAAATGAAACGTGTAAATATTAACTCTGATAAAACTTGAAAAGAAAAAAAAAAGTGTTTGTTCAGTGGCACAACTTTAAATTTAACATGGAGGACCAGGAACACCTCAAGACCAATCCAAGGGTAATATCCCACATATTAAATATAAAAAAGAGGTCAAAGAAGTTGGTTGTACATAGGTGGATTTCATGCAGTATTATAAGGAAAGCAGGTAGAAACACAGTAATAGCCAATCATTTGAATCTGAGTAACAGGTCACCCAGATTTCATGACAGGAACAGTCAACAGCAGAGGCCCGTTTAAAGATTGTAGATACGTTGGACCATAATAGATAAACGAGAACTTCAGTCTCTTACTTCAGCGAAAAAAATTAATAAAATTGTGTTGCTAACTCAAACAACTGAAAGTCACTGGAAAGCAAGTGCAAAGTTGGAGAAGTAACAAGAGAGCAAGGAAGTGCAGAGGAACAAGAATATGTGACATTTCAGAAACTGGTAATATACCAGTTTTATAATGAATTTTAATTACTCTAAACTGGCACCGACACAAAGACCAAGATCCTAGGCCATAAGGTTGTAATATAAGGAGTAGCATGTTCTCTCCATATTTCTCAGCTTCATGAAAGATAAATTAGGGCAAAATGATACACTCAACTTGCCTTTCCACTTTTCCAGCATTATGAAGGTTGAAGCAACAGAATAACTAGATTGGTAACCTATGATTTAGTTTAAGTATAAACTAATTACATCATTAGTTCCCAGTGGCACCTGAAAAGTGGTCATTGATTTTCTTTAATCATTTTCATGACTCTTAATTGCTTATCCACGGATTCATCAAATTTCCTTCCGTTTATCACAAGGACAAATTAATTCCATGGGAAATCCAAATATCGTTTTAACTTCAAAAACATCTAAAAGATATCAGAAATCAGATTTCATACCTTGATGGCTACCTTCTGGCCTTTCTTGGCAATGTCAACAGGTTTATGGTTATTTTCGATGGATGAAATTCGACCAATATCAATAAAGTCCCTTTGAGGGATACAAATAGGAGTTCCAACCTGTATGAAATGCAGATAGAATCAGAGGACCTTAAAACATATAAGCTTAATACGCATAATGACATCTCGTTTACTTTCACAAAATGGAAAGAGTATGGTCTGACCAGCCTCTAAGCAAAATATTTTAAGATGTGGGAATCTACTACAAATAAGAGGAATTCCTAAATTATTTATTCTTCCTTCGCCAGATGCTCATGTGTAAGTGTCCTTGGTAGATGTTCTACTCTTTACACATGACCAGTGTTATATCACAGATATTCTCCTACTGAAGCTAAACAGGAGAAAATATAAATCATTGTCTATACCTTTGCTATGCCTTCAAGGACATCAACCCCCAGCACAATTGGATCTTTCTTGTTAAAAACGCAGTTTGGTAAAATCTTAAGAACACATGGGAAGACTGCTTCATCAGCAGCTTCCCTCTTCTTCTCCTCCTTAAGATTGTCAATATAAGCCTTGAATTGATCAAATAGGTGGTAAATAATATCCGCAATGAAAATTTTCACACCCAGTTCATCCGCTAGTTCCCGAGCCTCCGGTGTCACTTTGACATCAAAAGCCAAGATAGTGGCATATTCCTTCTTCTTCTCAAGCATTACACTGGCCTTCATGACATCCTTTTTATGTACAGGGCCTATGTTTATACCACTGACAGGTATATTCACTTCAGGGGTCTTCAAAAATTCCAGCAAAGCTTCCAAAGAGCCCAAAGTAGATGCTTGTACACAAACTCCCTCACCGCTTTTGTCAATCCTGCTCATGACTGATTTCATATCTTCCATAGCTGCTTCCTTGGTATCATCCAAATCATCATCAGGTCCAACCACATATAGACCCGTGCCAGCAATAGCATGCTCCAGGCCCTGCATCAGGATATAGGACACCGTAAAACAGGTAATTCATTTAACAGAAATAAACTCAAAATGCAAAGGAAGAAGCATATTACTCCAAAATTGGCAATGATTATATGTTATGAAAGTTATATTCACCTGAGCAGTGATCTTAATACCCTGTGCAGCCTTGATTTCTTTATGATGCAGATAAGTTCCCTGAAATCAGATAGTGATTGAATCATCATCAGACACGATAAATCACAAAAACTTATGACACAAAAACATTGGAAAAATAAAATGGTGTAATCAACTTTAAGAAAATAATTTTAAAAACTATAGGAGAGAACTGTTTCAGTCAAGTGCGATGAAACTTGATGCAAACACAATGGAAAAACTATTAAAAGAGTCGGTGAAACCACATAACAAGAAATCAGTAATGGGGATTTTTCTTCTCTCATTTTAAGTTTTAGAAAGAGTAAGAAAAATTAAAAAATTAAACTGCCTTTTGCTCTCCCACTCTAAAAACAAGTTATGGAAACATAGCATAACAGAATAAATCCTCGCACATGCACTTGACAAGAACATAACAGTTTGACCAAACAAACAACAACTAATTGGTACTCCAGTTACCCATGCAGCACATGTATTCAATCATTGTACTGTATTCAACACAAAAGAACATTTCATCTCAGGGACAGAAGAAAAACGCTTGATCTATTAAACACAGGAGTGCAAAGAGGTCACCGCAATGAATGCAAATTGAGCACAAGAAGTCCACTTCAAAATTCTGGTTATAACCACTAGTTAAAAGAATTTATGTGGAGGATGCCACCCTAATGTCCAAACGTTCAAATTTGAACCTCAATTGCTAATTTATTTATGAGATTGACATAACCTAATGCACTGCCCTCCCCAAACACAAAAGCAAATAATAATTATAAGATTCTAGTTTCTCATTGAAGGGTAATGTTCAGGTCCTTAAAAAAATCATTTGGAGGCATGACTCTCTCTCCAACCATCCATCTCTAAACCTGATTTTAACAGGATAAAGGCCCTTCAACAACTTCCACCTAAGATATCTACAATCTAGGCTATTAATAATAGACAGAACTTGGTCACTAAATCCTAACTCACCTCGTACTCGTGGTTTCATCTCTTAAATCAGTTACTCATATTTACATCCCATTCTCCACCCAACTTGTGACTCTTAAAGACTCCCAAATACTATAGCACATTATTCCACCATGCAATTGTGCTAATGGTTGAAGGAGCACTAACACTCACCGATCTTTACATCAAAAGTGTTATATGCACATTGTTCAATCCTGTAGATAATTCACTATCATTAAAGCAAACCAAAGACAGATTTCCTGCATGGCTTGCCTTTCAAAGTGTTTAAAAGCTTTATCAGTTAAGTCCATCCAATTGAAATCAAAATGCTTTACTAATATGATGCAAGAAGAGCATGTAAAGCTTCATCTATTGATGTACTACTCATTAAGTGACAATACACCTTTCTAAGATTCAGAAGTGTTACTTAACAGAGAACAGAAATATATGACAGATGAGGAACAAATTTGAAAAGAAAAAACCTTACCTTAACTCGGAGTTCCTTCATTGGATGGGGCGTCAATAAAGCTCGAATTGTGGTAACAATGGGTCCCTAAAATGAAAATTTAGTCATGAGAATCTAGAAACAGCTTTACATCAGATTTTATGCCAAATAGGGGAGTGGGTTAATCGATGCTTGCCTGCAAGCCACAAACAACAATTTGATCTCCCTCATGAAGCATACCATTGACCAACACAACATCAATTGTTGTTCCATGCCCTTCAATTACCTTGACCTCCAACACTGTACACTGAAATGCAGCTCCAACAAACAATAAGGGCCAGTTAAATTTCATTTTCCAGATATTTGTTTTTTCCCCGTAAAATGAAAAATACTACTTGTGTTGCTGTTTTCATAGTCTCTTTCCAAAAAACACTAAACCTTATTGAGTTTTGTTGCGGACTATCTATGGAGACATTTACGATTGTGTGGATCAATATGAACAGCCAGCTCTTGACCATCCCTTGCTTAAAGATCACAAAATCCAGGTCCATTTCTTTCTTTAACTTAATCTTTGCACACAGTGTAAGCATGAAATTTCTATAGCTGCATTTCTCTTTTGGGTTCTTCTATAAGTTCAAATTTTGGGATTAAGTGTTTTAAAAGTGGTGCATTTGTCAAATCCAGGTCCAATTAAGTAGAAATTGTCTGTATGGGTAGGTTTCATCTAAGTGTATATCACCCAAAATGCATTTACTTGGTTATGATGAATAAAACTTTATAAAGTAAATCCCAAGCTCATTCACTAACTATATGAGATGTAACAAACACTTCAGCATATGGATCTTGTGTCCTGATGAGGTTGTCATATCACTCCATCGGGTAGTTAGCCCGTTTTGAAGCCCAAATATAAATCCCTCTAAATGGACAATTTCTTCTTGATTGGACTGATATTTAATAATCTAATTTTGAACATTCCATAGTTAGTACTGATCATCTAATGTGATTGCCTCACAGACTAGGCTGAGCTTCGCTCAGAAAACATATTCATCAAATGCTAGGGCTACTATACNACAACATCAATTGTTGTTCCATGCCCTTCAATTACCTTGACCTCCAACACTGTACACTGAAATGCAGCTCCAACAAACAATAAGGGCCAGTTAAATTTTCATTTTCCAGATATTTGTTTTTTCCCCATAAAATGAAAAATACTACTTGTGTTGCTGTTTTCATAGTCTCTTTCCAAAAAACACTAAACCTTATTTTCTCACTTATAACCAAAAAAGTAGCAAACAGTGAAAACAACTTTCCATTATTTTTTCCATTTTCAAGATTTATTCATCAAAACCAGAAAGCCCTTTTGAGTTATTTTATCTTTTCAATTAATTTTTTTTTAATAAAATATTAATAAAGCATTTCAATAATTATAAATTAAAAACAAATTTCTGTAATTTTTCAAAAAAATCTTTACCGAATGAGTTCTGTTATTTCATTTTCAAAAGATATTATGGAAAGGATCCCTAAGAATTCCCATGTTCACAATAAAGAGAGGCACTCCACAAGGCAAACATGGAGTAAAACAAACAAACCTGCATTTCATTACTGAAAGTAAGCTTCTCAACCATTGTTTTCTGAGTCCACTGAACCAGTAATAATAACAGATCTGGAATGCCTTCTCCACTGTAACATGACAAACCCAGTATTGTTAAAGGCAATGGCAAAGAACTAATTAAGATTTAGGATTCAGAAAGAATGCAACACAAGGCTCAGTCTGGAGTCTGTGACATACGTAATAGCACTTGTTGGTACAATACTGAAAGTCTCTCCCATTTCTTTATTTTTGTAGTATAACTCAGTATTCAATCCTTGTTCTTTAAACTGGGTTATAATCTGCTAAACCAATAAGCCAAAAGAAGATAATAAGAAAGAGAAACAGGACTTGCAAACAGAGAGAACTAATGACAAAAGAAATGGCCACATGTACATCACCTGTACAAGTCTCATATTAAATTCATTTTGTACGTCTTTTGATTGTTGTTTCATGGATTTTACAATAGGAGCATTGCGAGTAGTTTTCCAACCATAAAGTCTGTCGACCTGCAAAAGTAAAAGATAAATGAAGGGAAGTAAGCATCAACCAGAGAAAAAGGTAAAAGAGTGGCTACTTCAAAGATGAAACTATGAATTGAATCTAACCTTGTTCAATGCAATAATAAACTCTGTATTCCTCATTTTCAAAAGATTAAGTGATTCAATAGTTTGTGGCTCTAAGCCATGCATGATGTCAACCACCAAAATTGCAATATCACATAGCCCTGAACCCCGTGACCGTAGATTTGTAAAAGATTCATGACCAGGGGTGTCAATAACTAATAAACCTGGGACCTTCAATTTTGCGTCAGCTTTCAATTCCTTGGTTCTCTCACGTATGTTCACAGCAGGGAAATATGTCGCACCAATCTGTTGAGTAATACCCCCAGCCTCACCTTCCTGAACATTAGTACCTCGGATACAATCCAGCAGCTTTGTTTTACCAGTATCAACATGGCCCATAATGCAGCAGATTGGGGAACGAAGATTCTCTTCTGCCTCTTTAGGGGTAGCATCTGCATTCGATGCTTTATTCTTAGCTCCAGCCTCTTTCCTCTTAGTCTTGTCTGTAACTTCAACCTCAGGCTGGCTTTTCTTATTCTCAGTGTCCTGAGATTTCACCAATTGCACAGGCATCGCTTTCTTGGCTGCATCTGCGGCTGTAAAAATTGAAAAATAAAGCAAGCATATTTATGTGAGGAAATCATAAGGAGAACCAGGAAATAGCAACTCCATATGCCATAAAAAGGATAAACTTTACCTGTCGTAGTCCCCTTCTTTACTTCAGGTTCAGGCCCAGAATCAACTTCTTCATCATCAAATGCACCTTTGACATTAAGATTAACATCATCCCAGCTCTTTGCATCCCAATCCATATCATCTTCTTCTTCTTCTTCGTCTTCTTCATTTCCATCCTGCTTGGGCCCATCAGCAACTTCTGGTTTCTCTTCCACACTCATTGATTCCCCTTCTTCAACCTTCTCTGTTTTCAAAGAATCCAATTCACCAAAGGTTTCTTGAGGCTCTTGCTCTTGCTCTTTTTCTTTTGTTTCTGCAATCTCCTCCACCTTAGCAGGCACAGCACCATTTGCTTGATGGTGAGTTGGTTTTGACTTCTTTGTCTGGTATTTGGGCCTTTTTGGTGCTGCACTTTCCTTGTCACCACCAGGGAGGGCAATTCCTGCATTAGCCAGTATCTGGTTTCTCATAGCCTCTAACCGACGAGCTTCTTCCTTCTGCTTCCCAGTTAAAAGCTTGCCTTCCTGTTTCTTCTTCAAGAGTTTCTCCTTTTCCTTTTCCTTCTTCCTACGTCTAGCCTCTTCTGCTTGCCTCTCAAGTTCTTCTTGCCTTTTTCGCTCCTCTTCTTCCTTCCTTATCCTTTCCTCTTCTTCCCTTTTCTTCCTCTCCTCAGCTTCTTTTCGTCTAGCTAGTGCTTCCTGCATCTCCTTCACTTGCTTTGACACTTTCGGTCCTTTACTCTTCCCGTCAGCCTTTTTGGGTTCTGCTTCCAGTTTCTCTTCTGCTACAACAGCTGCGGCAGCCGCAGCTGCCTTCTTCTCTTTTTCCTTTTCCTTCTTCTTTTTCTTCTTTTTTGCAGCAGCAGACTCCTCTTTTTCTTCCTCTCCTTCCTTCTCATCAGCAGCATCTGCTGGTTGAGCTGATTCAGCCGGTACATGAGGCTGAACTTGTACTTCCTCCTCTTGTGGAGGAGTAGTGGTGGGTTTCACCATGGCAGGCGTTTCACCAAGCTCGGCAAGGATCTTATCCAAATCATCCTCTTCTTGAGCTGTCCTTCCACTCTTCTTTTTCTTCTTCTTACTCTTTGAAGTCTCTGCCACCTCTTCCTTCTTACTAACTTTAGAATCATTAGACTCAACATAACTAGTTCCCATACTCTGTTGCTCTGGTTCAACTGCATCTGTAACATCACTCCCAAGTCCAGATTCTTCCCCCAATGAAGCAAAAGCACTATTACTCTTCTTCTTAGAAGACTTCTTCTTACCTGTAAATGAAATTACAGGTTCATCTTCATCCGCGACTTTAGTAGGCTCATCATCATCATTTCCTTTGTCAAGCAATGCTGCACTAAATGAAACACCACTTTTCTTGGAAGACTTCGATGACTTCTTTTTCTTCCCTGAGAAAGCAATCTGTCCAACATCGTCATCCTCGTCTTTCCTCTCCTCCTCATCAACACCTTCATCATCATCAAGCCCAGCAAATGTAGAAGCCGCAAACACACTCCCACCACCCTTCTTGCCACCCTTCTTCGACTTCTTATTCCCTTTAAAAGTAATTTCCGCCACATCATCATCATCATCATCATCTTTACTCTCCACAACATTATCATTATCAATAACGTCGCTTTCACCTTCACTAGCCCCATCAATCACATCAAAAGCTGATGCTGTAAACAAACTACCACCCTTCTTCCCACCTTTCTTTGATGGCTTCTTTTTACCAGTGAAACTAACTACAGAATCATCCTCTCCCTCACTATCTTCATGCCCATTATCATCTTCCTTATCTTCCTCTTCAAGTAACCCAAAAGCCGACGATGAAAAAACACTTTTCCCACCCTTCTTCCCCTTGGACTTCTTCTTCCCACTAATCTCAATTGCCTCAACATCATCCTTTTCCTTCTCCTCCAAATCATCATCGTCGTCGTCGTCATCATCATCGTCATCTTTTCTTGAACTCTTCTGACTTCCCTTTTTACCCTTCTTTTTCCCAGAAATCACCACCTTCTCTTCCTGAGCGGGTGGTTCCTCAGACAGTTCAGTACCAATAGAGTACTCATCATCATCAATAACGACCGCCTTCTTCTTAGATTTGCCGCCACCGCCCTGAGCGGCAACAGGCGCGTCCTCGTCGTCTCTCACTGTTGGCTTCTTTCTACCCATCGAAATTCAGGGTTTAACTCCACAAATTTGGGTTCAATTCGATCAACTTAAGTCTCTAAAAATCTGAATCCCGATCAACCAAAAAAAAAAAAAAAAGAGAGAGAGAGAGAGAAAGTAAAATAAAAAAATCAAGATACGTGCTTATATAAACCGTTGCATATAATCCGAAATGAATGATATGAGTAAAATTAAATTATATAAAACCTAATAAAAAAACAAAGCAAGAAATGAATATAAATCTGCAAATATTTATATAATACGGCAGAGAGAAAGAGAGCTAACTTGAAGCGATAGCGACGAAAGGAAGAGCAGGAAGGGATTGAAGATTGAGGAGCGATGAGAAGCATAAAATAGGTGTGTGCATATAAGGGTTTTTTTTCTTTAGGCTGATGATTAAGTGAAGAAGAGGGAGACAAAGAAAGAGAAATTTGATGTTAGAGAAAGCATAAAATACGAATGGCTCATTAGAGTTTTTCTTCTAGGGTTGGCTATGGGCCGGCTTCGGTTCAAGTAGCCCACGCTTCCATCCGCAGTAAAATTCTCATCACTGTTTGTTAAAAGAAAAGAAACAAAGAATCTGATGTCTATTTATTTCGTATTTTTATAAACCAAATGTATCTATAATAGGGGTTTAATAGTTAGCAGTTACATGTATAGCCTATAGGCTATACGTGGTAATATAATGCCTAACATATTTTTCTCTCCACAAATTTTGATTGTTTTAGAATCGAGTAAATGACTTTTTCCCACACAAAGTTTGCCTTCATGACCCTTTCCCACCCAAAAAGTTTTAAAATAACACTTTATTACCCAAACCACAACTCCATTAGTAAATTTCTGTTAAATACAATGATATTCATTGTTAAGACAAAAATACATATCTCTCTTCTTCTTCTCTTCTTAGCCTTTTTCCATTGACGGTAATTGCCATCAACGTTAGGGAGTGACCGAAAAATCAACAAATAAACCACAAACACTTCAAATACTCCCTGTTTTTAGGCCATTTTGACCTGAATCCGGCATTGTTGAGCCCTTCCACCACCACCAAAATACTCCCCACCATTCCCTCACCAAAACCCCTTCCACTATTGTCCGTCTAACCCCTCCATTTGTTGGCCATCACATACAGTTGGTTCGCACGATTCTTACCCTTTTCTGGTCGCTTCCAGCGTCAGAAATCCCTTTTAAGACCACCAATCAACTAGCCGGCCTCCCATCTTGAAAACCCCCAACCTTCTCGATGCTAATTGCACATCGTTTGCTGCTCTCTACCACTTAGGGTTTCACTGCTTTAGAGTCGATTCTGCCTAATTCTGGTGGTCAAAATCCAATCTTCCACCACCCTTTCAACCTCCAACCTCCTCTCTTCATAACCCCTCAAACCCCATCACTTGGTTACTCGTCATTTGTTGATCGTGAATTGCCACCCTCCTTTCGCCGTTCGTTGTTTTCTCAACAAAGTGGAATTTCAAATTGATTATCCTACCCTTACTTATAATGGACTTTTGACCATCTTATCTTTCTTCAAAACAAAACTTATTACAGACTTCAAAACGAAATTTACTATAGAAATTGTGGTTTGAGTAGTAAAATGGTATTTTGAAACTTTGTGGGTGGGAAATTGTCATTAAGGCAAACTTTGGTGGGAAAAGCCGTCTTCTCTTTAGAATGATATTAAGTTTTGTACTATTATAATGAACTTTACTCCATAGTTATCTCTAAAATAGATAAGAAGAGTTGACAGTCTGATTAAAAAACAAAGAAAGCCGGTGATCAATAAATCAACTAAGAGCATTTGCACTCTTTACAATCATTCAGATAAGATGCTCATAATCATAAAACTGGAATCCAATTTCCAAATCCAAAGTTGTTGTTTTCTTTAATTTATGGCTTTAAAGATGTAATATTTATTACCCACATAAACACATTAATCTTAAATTTGATTCCAAATTGAATTGCTAACGAAATGTTAAACTCCAAACTGAAATTGAGTAGGCAAGAAAACCTTTAAACCTAACAATTTATCACTGCAAAAAGTACTAAAGAGCAACACAAATGCTCGTGAAGCATATAACTTGTATGTTATCAAAAACGATATTTATTGTTTACTGCTGCCACAAACTGTTGATACCATTTTCTCCAAATAAACAAGAGTATAATCGTGATTTTTGAAGCTAACATTTCAAACCACAATAGCAGTATAAGGTTTTCTTTTATTCCAGGTCAAAAAGTTTCAGTTCAGAAGAAAAGGATCTACGAAACAGCACCAAAAGCCAAAATAGATATAGTTTTTGGGTGCAGAATGACCCAATAAAGCATGTTGCCATAGTTAGCTGACAGTGCCAAGAATAAAAAGAAAACAAATGAGATAGCCCTCGCAATCCCTTAATCACTTCAGTTTTGCGAACAGCTTTGGTGCAACCTGCAAACCACAATGCCAAGTTCAGCTGCTGACCTAGACCAATCTTAATGAACTAATAAATGATGTAAAGAAGTCTTACGCATTTATCAATACATGACAAGTAGTCAAAGTACTGTCCGGTACAGTGCTTGTGGCCACTTTCATCACCTTCAATCCTCTTTTTACATGCCTGCAATAAGGAGAATGGTTTCACAATTCTAATAACAGAACCAATTCATATACTATAAGAAAGCAATGTTCCTCTCTTCAAATCCATTGAGCATTTGAAATATTTAGAAAAATTTGCAAAAGTGAATCTGATTGACCATTTATTGCTTAATCTGGTTTTTTGCTACCTCATATTTCAAAAATGATAGAGGAGACAGCTTAAACAATAACATAAATAGTTCATGAAACAATTCAGGGCAACAAGAAGAAAGAGAAAACAAGACAGCAATAGATTTCATGCTGTGGTATTCAATTTTTATATCAGTAATGTATAAAAATGAAAGGTCACACAGTCACTGCATCCAGTCACAAAAACTCTTATCTTGTCAATGAATGCATATTCAACAAGTTAATAAAATTAAAGCAGATGCAGCAATAATTGGTAAACGGTGAAGCAACATCCAGTACATAATGCAGCTTTATCACCATCAATTCATGGCAAACAAAACAAGTTGCTTGATTGTGCTATGAGAAAGCTGGAAGCATCATTTAAAGTTTTGCAGGCAATTTGATGTCATCTCACCAGGCAAAATGCATTATACCAAACACTTCAGAAATATTAAAAAAAAAGTTAATGTTCAATTGAAACATGAAAACATGATGAATACATTTATAGAATCAGCAGACATAGCAGAAAAAGCAAAAAGTAAAAGCACAAAAAGAACAAAAGAAAAGGTCATAGGTATGCCATAAAACATGTTAAGTTTCTATTAGCCATGCTTTACCTCGTATTCAATCAAAGGCTTCACACATTTAGGCTTGCAAGCATCTTCAAGATACTTCTTCTGATCAACAACATCCTCATCCGCCCTAAATTGAATTGAAAGACAGACAAATTCAAATTAATAAATAAAACATATCAGTTAAACAAATAAATTTTCACAACCACAAGGTAAAAATGTAATAACTACAAAGAAATAGAAGCATGATATTCCAAACACTACAAAAGAAATAGGCAAAAAATTATTTATATATACATATGTACGTTCAGTTTTAGCGTTCTAATATTGTACAACTGAAGAAGAAAGTCTAGCTCACTTGACTTCCTCAATTACAATATATGAAATCCATAAACAAGAATCTCAATCCACGATATCCAATGCCCTTTTCATCCAAGCACGTGCTACAATTTTGTAATGCGAGAATGAAAACATAGACCTATACTATATCTCCATCCTTGATGATACCTCATGTGTGCAAATCAGAGACTGAAAACATAGACCATCCCTTCCTCTGTTGCCCCATTACTTTACACCTTCGGTAGAGCCTTTTATCGGCCTTCAAGATTTCTAGGGTGTTGCCCTAGTCTGCCCATTCTTTTCTATAAAGGCATTTTGGTTCTGGTCTAGAGCACACAAAAGCTTCACTATGGGATTGTATGGTGATACCTACCTTTACAGAGACTTTTTTATGGGATAACTCAAAATATTTGGCTTCACTAAGGCTTGTGTTCTTCAGAGTTTATAGAAACTCCCTTCTAGTTCATAATCCAGTTTCTACATAGCAACAGTTTAATGCTCCTAGTTTTCTAGTTTTTGTTTACCGATTATAAGATAAGATCCTTGCTTTTATCCAGAATCCTCTTATTCTTCTTCACCATTGCTCAGTAAATATTTGTGAACTTCTTGTTCACTTCCACCGTTTCTCACCATTAAAAAAACGAGAATCCAAGTCAAGGGAAACTCTAATGTTTGTTCATATCAATATTTCCCTCTCCAAACTTCTGGCTCTCTCTCTCCAAACAGATATTAGCACACAAACACTCAGACGCACTGGCACACAGCGAGACACATATCTTAAGTTCGTAATTAGAAAACATACTCTCTATATTCTAACAAGACTATAAAACAAGAAGCATGAGCAACAAAATTCAGACGAAATTATCCAAACCACTCAAGAGCATCCAATCTACCAAAAAATGTTACAAATTGAAACAACAATAACTTCCCAAAAAATCACCTATCAACAATCAAACTTACAGTTTCAACAAAATCATAAAAACATAATACTCACATTGAGTTGACTACGACGTCGAAACGACTCACTCGATAAAAAAATCTCTATATACTTTCTGCAAAAAAAAAAGGGTAAGAAAAAATTAAAATTCCAGAAATTTATATTAGCACATAATTAGCGCAAGGATTAAATTCAGATCTGCGATTAATTAATTCAGATCTACGATCAACGTTAGGGAAGGCTGAAATTAACAGCAGAAATTGAGGTTAGGCTAATTAGAAGGAAGTGAAATGAGATGATCGTCGAACCTCACTTTGAAGGCTGGAACAGGCGGCTCGGGTGCTGCGAAAGCGAATGCTCGTGGTCGCGGCAGTTAGTGTTATATCAAAGAGGAGTAGATTGTAGTATGAACGAGATCAATCAATGGGCCGAGCCGTGCCGGTTCTTTTGGGCTCTTGAAGAGGAGACCGGTCTGGCCCAATATAGTAGCTCATCATCATTCATTCTTCTGAATATAATTTTGATTAGTTTTTATTTAGGGGTTTTAGTCCTATTATTTTTGTCTTTAGTCCTTAAAATCTAAGGGATTATAGTTGTAATAAAAAGTTTTATTCATCTTCTCCTTGCATACTTTTTTTTTTTCTATTTTTTTTTTTATAAACCCGATAATTCTACTAGAAAAGAATAAAGAATACAAAAAGGGAGCAAACCGCCCCCTTAATCCACTACCATTGGATAGACCAAAGTAGGCAGACGTAAAAGGACCTAACCCACAAGATGTGCAGATCAAACAAAGGCTAAGCAAAAACAGGTCGAAACACAAAAACTACACAAAAAGAGCTTATACAGACACCAATCATATGTGAACTTCGACACTCTCAACCTGCCACAAAACAACCCCACAATCACACAACAACACGCAACACTGAGAACCAGCCTTACACCTAGAGAGAAACCAAAAATAAACCACGTTACACAACCAAACAAACAGTTAAGAGAAACCTCCTCAAGAATAGCACAACCACCAAAAACAAGGCATCAAACAATAGGAGTGGATCCCCTCAACTGGCAATCAATAGGCACACCCCAATCATCCAAGACTTTACATGCGCTCGGGTACTGTTCCTAAAGTTCAGTGAACATAACCTGGGTCTTACTTAGGTCAAAATTAACTTTTTTATATCTTCTTAACTAGGGCAGTTTATTAAAAGGCCATCTGAAGTTTGAATTTAATTAAAAGGCTATCAAGTTTTAAAGTGTTAACTAAATAGCCATATTATTGATTAAGGGTAATTAAACTTGATTAGTGCTTAATTAGGATTAATGAAGTATTATGTAATCTTTTAAAAATTATACTATATTCCCAAAAATCCGAAATTCTTGCAAACAAACTCAAACACCTTATTCTTCCTCCCGCCATTAACGCATCTCTACCTTGGTTGTTGTTTCTTCTTAGCTTCGTCTACATCTTCTTCTTCCTCTGCATCTTCTTTTTCTTCCTCCTTCCTCTACATCTTCTTCTTCCTCATTCCTCTACATCTTCTTCTTCCTCATTCCTCTATATCTTCTTGTTCCTCTACCATTAACACTCTCTTGTTCCTCCACCATTAACATCTTCTCCGTCAAAGATCCCCCTCCTCCTCCTCCTGACATTTCGTCTAAGTATGTGTATCTCCTTTTTACATTTTATATTTAGATTTACAAAGATTTAATAATGGATAGGGTTTGGGTTATGATTTTGATTTAGTTGTTTAGGTTGTTCGGTTGTGTTTAATGTAATGCAAGTTGAAAGGAGTGAAATTTGTTGAAAATTTATTCTGGGTATGTGTTATGGGTATGATGGATCGATTGTAGGTGGAGATGACTGAAAATATGTTCTGGGTATGATGGATCGCTTAAGTGATCTGGTGTATCGCTTAAGCGATCTAGTAGGTCTGCTAATGCAGCAGATAAATCGCTTAAGCGATTAGGTATATGGCATAAGATCGCTTAAGTGATCTGGTAAAAGTCTGGTATATAGGAGCAAATCACTTAAGCGATCAGTAAATGGCATAAGATCGCTTAAGTGATCATGGTTATTTATACTGGATCGCTTAAGCGATACACTTGATTGCTTAAGCGATCCAGTATAAATAACCATGATCGCTTAAGCGATACAGCAGACCATATAAGCGATTGTGCAGATTCTTTTTAAAATATTTGAACCATTAGTACAACATTTAAGAATATTTTTTTTCTTACATTACAGGTAGTTGGCTATTATTACACATGGGACAAGTTGTTTTAGGTGTTGAATATTTTTGTGAGTGGGTGGAGGAAGAAAGTAGCTGGAAGTGGATTGGGAAGAGCAAAGAAGTTATACCAATTGTTGTGAGCACAAAGGTTAGTTTTGATGAGTTGATTGATGAAATAATTAGAAGCAGTAATTTGAGTTGCTCGCGTAGTGATATAGTTGTGAAATACGTTTTAAGCAGAGTTCCTGAACATTATAAGGTACCTCCTGCTATATTAAAGTCGGATGAAAGTGTGAAGTTATATATGATTGATGTGGCCGATAATGGTTCGAGGCCGATTTTAAGGGTTTCTTTTGTAGAAAAACTGTTGGAAGTTGGTTCAAATGAATGGGATAACGAGGAAGTAGGCGGAGATTTTCCTGGTTTTAATTTGAACTACAAGGCCATTGATTTGTTAGTTGAAAAATCAAGAGTAGATGGTGAATTGGGTGGTGATGAGGATACTGTAGAAGAAGTTGGTGATGGGGGGGCAGAATGAAAATGTTGAGGAGGAGGACCCCGTAGATGTTCCCACAGATGTAGAGATTCCTTTAAATACAGATTATGCAGAAGGCGTAGATTGTGAGGAAGAGAACACTATGGTCGTTTATGCAGGTTCAGAGGAGGCAATTGGAGGTAGTAGCGAATCAGCTCATGTTTTTACGGATAGATCGGAGTTGCGCATAGGGTATTTATTTGACAACAAAGAGGAAGTGGTGAGGAAGCTAAAACTTGTTGCCATGAAAGGTAATTTTGAGTTCATCACCAAAAAGTCAAATTCATTGGCTGTGATGGTTGCATGTCGTGACCGAAAGTGCAAGTGGCGGGTTTATTATAGAAGGTTGGCGGAGTCGGAAAAATTTATTCTTAGCACATATACCCGTGAGCACACTTGTGGTTTGGGACATATTTTAGGTGAGCATCGACAAGTGTCTGCTGATGTTATTGGATAATTTGTCAAAAGTCGGTTCTTTGAAGGGAAATGTCCATCTCCTAAAGACATTCAGAGACTTATGCGCACAGAGTTGGGATGTGCTGTTAGTTACTAGAAATGCTGGAAAGGGAGACAACATGCACAAGATTTTGTGAAGGGCACGCCGGAGCACGAGTACGCAGTATTAGAAGCGTACCGTTATATGCTTGAGTTGACAAACCAAGGTAGCAAGACGGCTTTGAAGTGGGACAGGAATATGATGTTTAAATATTTTTTTGTTGCTTGCGGTTCTGCTATAAGGGGTTTTGTAAACATGAGAAAGGTGTTGGTTGTTGATGGTTGCTTTCTGAAGGGAAAGTATGGAAGTACATTGTTGGTGGCCACTACATAGGACAGCGAGAATCACACATATCATGTTGCATGGTGTGTGGTTGACTCTGAAAATGACGAGTCGTGGACTTGGTTTTTTCGGCAATTACGTATGATAGTGCCTGACTGTGACGCGTTGTGCATAATATCCGATAGGCACAACTCTATAAAGAAGGGGATTGCCACTATTTACCGTCAAGCACATTACGGATTCTGTATGAGGCACCTTGGTGAGAACATAAAACAAAAGTTTAAGTGTGCTGGCCTCCTTCAAACATACTACATGGCAGCAAAAGCTTATCGGGTTGATGAGTTCGAGGATCACTTTTAGCAAATCCAAATTAAGGATGATAGAGTTGCTAAGTATCTTAAGCATGATGTTGGTTTCGAGCGATGGAGTAAAGCTTACTTTCCTGGAAGAAGGTTTGATGCATGACCACGAATATAACGGAGTCCATAAATTCAAAGTTATTAATAGAAAGAGAGTTTCCAATAGTTGCACTTTTTGATGCAATCCAGAGGATATTGTCACGGTGGTTCCATGAGCATCGTACGGAGTCAGATAATTTTACTACAACCCTTGTTCCGTCAGCTGAAAAATTATTACGAGAACGTATGGAACTGTCAAATGCACTATTTGCTTATCCTTTTAATGCTCAAGAGTTCACTGTGCGTGGCTATGGTCCGGATGCCCTAGTTAACCTTGTTAGTAAAACTTGCAGATGTAAAGTGCTTGACATTCAACGTTTACCTTGTCCTCATGCACTAGCAGCACTGAAACACTAACGGAAGTCGGATTTTGGTTCAAGAATTTACATGGAACTTTGCTCCCCTCTCTATATGGCAGATTACTACATGCTAGCTTATTCAGAAACAATATATCCAATGCCTCCAAAAGAGAAGTGGGTAGTGCAGTGAGAGTTGGCTGACATTATCATCCATCCGCCATTCAAGAAGACAGTAAAGGGGATAAAAAGAGTTAAGCGTATTCCATCAGCCTCTGAGGTTCCTTAGAAGATGAATAAGTGCTCAATTTGCAAGCAACCTGGCCACAAGAGAAGCAGTTGCCAGAAGTAATCACATGTAGATCCAGAAAATTAGGTTCGAAGAATGATGAAATTCAGGGAGTTGCGAAGGCCAACCGTTGATGAGTTATTGTTTTCAATTATTGATGTTTTAAATTTTATTGTTACCTTGAATAAATCATTCTTTATATTTAGTATTCTTGTTACATGACCTAAATATTTGTTGGTGATTTTAGTTTGGAATTAGGTTGTCAAATTGAGAAGAAAGTATGGAATTAATACGTGTTGGTAATTTTAGTTTGTCAAAATTCAGGAGAAAAGCTGGAAAAGTATATATTGCCCATGATCGCTTAAGCAATACACTTGAATTAGGTTGTCAAATTGAGGAAAAAGTATGGAATTAATACGTGTTGGTAATTTTAGTTTGTCAAAATTCAGGAGAAAAGCTAGAAAAGTATATATTGCCCATGATCGCTTAAGCAACTAAGTATATCACTTAAGCGACAAAGGGTTATTCAAACAAGATCGCTTAAGCGATATCACGGATCGCTTAATCGACCA